TTTACACCGCTCGAGGTCCCCCCCCCCCCAAAAAAAAAAACACGTAGGTTTTAGTTCAAATGCATGGTACGGGAAGAGCCTGATCTTTAATCCTTTTTATGTGAAACTTGTCTGCCGGAGGTAAACTTTGTGCACAACGAAATCAGAGAGGAAAGCCAACCCGTTCTGCTGAAAGCTACCTGGATTTTTCAGGTGTGTGATGTGCTCACAGCAGAGAACACACAGCACAGACAGGGGAGGGGTCAAAGAGATGTGTTGGCAGGTTTTAACAGCAAGAAGTGGAATGGTTTAGCTTTTTGTAGGACTGACAAGTTTTAATCTGAATATGGTATGATGGTATGCTTGTTTCCGTTAGCTAGCCTTAACTCAGTTCCACCATGATTTATTTGCTAGCACAAGTGTTTTGTGTTACATGGTTATGAACACTCGAGACGATAGTCAAGTCGGATGGACGTGTTACGCTGGAGGGGGAGGAAAAAAATAACAGGGAATGCTGAAACAAGATTATGTACTTCAATCAGGCTCCACCAAGGGCACGCCACACAACTCAATGTCAGAAAGATGCTGCTTCAAGTGCTTCTGACAAGTGCCGCTGATGGACGGGTGAAGTATTAGAAAAGGCAGCAGCAGATAACGGGATCGCGTTACTCAAGGATTTCTCTTCTTCCTCCCTAAAACGAGGAGTACAGCCAGTGCAGGTACCTGACTCACGCTGCATCAGCTGTGCTCAGATCAAGCTGTCCGGCGTGATCCAAAACCTGTCAAAGCAGCTGAAGTGAACCGGGGCATGCCAGGGATTTAATGATTAGCTGAAGGAGGACAGAAGAACAAAGAATGTGTGATGAGAGTGAGCACAAGGATACGAGAACATCGAGGCGATTAAAGACAGACGGGAGTCTGTGAAGAGGGCTGAGGGAAAGGGGCGAGTAGTGATGATGATGCTTATCGCGGCTGCATACACTGATGTGAGGAGAGTCCCCTACCCTACCTCCCCACCTAGTGGACACTTATGTTGTGTAAAGTCCGAAGTCTGCATTTCTGTCTGAGGTGTTTTTAGCATAGCAAAGCATCCCTCTCTGTGGAGGGTAACTCTGAAGTGCCTTTTTTCCTCTCCACCTGACTCAATCCTCATAAACTCTCTGATCTCTATTAAGGTAGCGCGACTCGAGTTGCGAATGACCACAGTCACCAGTTCTTGTCATGCGCCTACGTATGTATGTCTGATCTCAGAATTGTGTGTACTGAAACTCTAATTTCCCTCTGGGATTAATAAAGTGTCTTTGAATTGAATTTGAAAGGAGAAGAGTCTCGTGACATAAAATATCTTTAACAAGGACCGTCATGTTGTCTTTTGCTCTCCAGTTCTAGTCCCTCTTTTTCTTGTGCCTTGAGTGTTAATCTTCAAGGTTGGGTAATTAAAGGGGAAAATGATTTACAGAAAGCATTTTGGTTAATATCCAGTGCCAATCACTCATTCAATTCTACGTAATCAGGTCACGCCCGTTATTTCTGTCCTTGGGTTATTTACAGCCACTGGAGTGCTCCTCATTGTGCTTGCCTGCCCTTACATCGTGCTTGTATAGAAAATAAACTAATAAACATTTAACATGGCAGGATTGATGAGGAGCAAAAAGAATGTTCAACTTGCAAGAGCCTCTGGAATAGTCGATTGATTTCCCCTTCATTGGTCTACCTCTTAATATCAGAGTATTTCATCTTCTTGATATCTGAAAGTCCCTGAAGCATAACAAATAAAAAAATTAAAAAAACAACTCCCACACGTGCTCAGTCTTCAGGGAACATAAATGAAGGCTCCAGCCAACATTTCCACAGTCAAAGTCTGCTAATTCACTGAACCAAGACGCTGCTGCTATCTTTTCAAATTTATCTCCATCAACTGCAGAAAGAAACTGGAAGAATGGACCACCAGCAATGAGAGGTATCACATTAAAGACAAAATGCACCTCTTTTGGAATAGTTTAAAGGACATAACCCCAAAATTCCACTATCTCCGCTCCGGCATGAACTCCGCAGCAAAAACGGCCCCGTTGTAGTCTATCAGAGCTGTACCACTACTGCGGCCGTGTGGCGCAGGGCGCCGTTCCGCCATCCGGCCAAAATAGGATTGATTCTATTTTTGCCGGACGCCGGCGCACCTCCGCAGTTAATGGACAGAAATCACAACCGCCCAACAGGAAAGGGAGCAAGCATAACTTCCGTTTTTTCACAAAAAATCGATAAACAAAAAGCGTTTTTTGTTTCTTATGCACAGGTTAACTACCTTTAAGAACTATCAATGGCGGTTGAACTTTAAATGCACAAAAATAAGCCATAAATACAGTTTCCACTATCAAAGCAGTCACCCTTTGTTGATCCAAACACTGCTGATCTCTCAACACAAACGATGGGCAGATTAAACAGTTCATTTCGATGCTTCTCCCACACAACGGGTGTTTGGATCTGACTTCCACGTTTATTGCTCGGACTGTATCGCAAGATCTCGAAAATCCCACGCATGCCTGTTTGCGCACCTCAGGTCTCTGCACCGGAGCGGAGCCGTTGTAGAGCGGGTACCAGTATAATTTGAGTTTGGAAGCGAGCGGCAGCAGAAAGCGGGGGCGGAGCGGAGCAGAGATAGTGGAATTTTGGGGTAACAGTTCACTTTGTTGTTCATTTTTGTTTTGGAAAACTAAATCCAGGGGAAAAGGCACGACTAAAGCAGCTGACTACCATAATTAAAAAATCATGAATGCTGCTTGGCAACATCTTTGATCTTCTAGCTGAAAACACTGACATGACATTTGTGTCGTAGCTTTGTACAAGGAAACTGATCCAGGAATGACTCCAGATCTACAACCCCTGTCTCCTTCATGTGGGGATAGTTGAATTTGCTGTGACGGCTGTTCCAAATATTGTTCTTAGAGGTGCTGATATGCAAGATGAAAACATGCTGAGCTCTGAAAATGGCTCTTCTTTGAACCCTTTGGAATTCTTCAATTAGAGCACAATCACTTAGTCCCATTGGTCTCATTGTAGAAAAAGCTCACATTCACTTAAGACACTCCAACTAAGCAGTTTTGGTTCAGGATGCGACTGCAGCAAGCCTCTGTTCCCCTTGTTGACCCGGGGCCCCGCTGGACCACCAACGCAAACGTTTGCCTTTAATAAGTGCGCATGTGCTTTCACACATCCTAGGTCTGCTTTATTATGACAACCTTGTTTTCTTGTTCAGACGCCTGACACAGCAGTACCACTGATGTTTTCCACATCTACAATAAAGAGGGCAATGTGAAAAAAAAAGGATGAAGGACAAGATCCAGTCGGCTATACCTTGCAACAATGTACACACACACACACACACACACACACAAAACAGACAACTTCAAAAGGGAAAAGCCAAGCTCTCAGCTTTTCTCAAGCTGGTCTCTATGGGTTAATTAGAGCACCAAGTCCCACATCACCTGCCTTCAAGATGCATAGTATGCATTCACATGCAACTAAGGGTCATGTGCTCAGCTAACAACAACCCTCTGCATCACACGTACACATGCAAACATCAGCCCGTGTCGGATCCGTCCTCTGCTGCCTGTGGCAATCTAACTTCAAACATAATCACCGTCCATCTGGCCGATTCAGACTCCATTCTGCCTGCTTCTCTCACACGCACACTCAGGTTAGCTCAAGTCTGAACCTTGTGGTTGAAGTCAATCTGTCTCAACCCCGCAAAAGGAGCACGGGAACCTGCATGGGATAGTTGGTGATGTCAGGCATGTGACTGCTTGCTGTGGGTAGATTTAAGATGGCAGGGTGTTGGTGTTCAGGTGGCCAGCAAGATGCTTTTCTATTTTTTTATTGAAAGTTAGGTTCACCTGTGGCCCACTCTTGAGATATTCATCTCTCTTTGTGTTTTGAAATAAAAAAGAAGCCACAGATGGAGAGTAATTGTAACAAAACGAGAGCCAAGAGCAAACAACACAGAAGGAACACAGCAACTATGAACATGATAGATTCTTAGAGGAGAGAAAGAACACTACTTGTTCTTAGCTCCAGCACTACATCACATTTATATGGGAAGAGGAGGCATTTGTGTGTCCTCAAGGACCTAAATAAGTAGGAGTGAGTGGGAGACAGTGAGAGAAGGGGGGAAAGAGAGCTAGTGAAAGAAATAAGTTACAGAGACGGAGAGAAAGAGGACAACGATGACAGCTGGCTGGGCACTTTGTGCATCTGCCAGGGGTGACTCGTGGAGCCATAATGAAAATGCAAGGCGAGATCAGGATCGCGGTGAGAGAGGTCTCCATCCATCAAACAACTCCCATTGAGGAAAGACAGCTCCAATGATAACAGCAAATGTGGTTATTTGCAACCCTGGATGGAGCAATTTCACAACACTGGAACCTGAACTACAGTAAGTTCAGACTGGGTGTTAATACATTTAGTCACATTTATGTCCCCGACTTAATGACCTAATGCCATTTCTCATGACCAATAAATCATTATTGGTGCAAAGGGCTTTAAATTTTACTCCTGTGATCTCAATGATTTCCACTCCCTTACACGGTACCCTCACCTCGCCTCATGAAAATCTAAAGCTCAATGATGCTGCAGGTGGGGAAGTGAGACGGCAACTTGGGGAGACAGCAAGGAAAGCAACCTACACTGACAAACCAAGACTACACAGCTCATGTGTGTGGCAGCAAACTATTTTTTCACGTTTTCCTCCACATGCTGCCTGTTACCGTGACATAAATTTCCGTTTTTAAAAAATAAACCAAGAAAGATGTCACCACGGCTGTGCTGGGTGGAGCTACTGCTACACCTAAACAACTTTAAACTAGATGCTATCCACGTCATGACAGAATGAAATTTACTGTGGCATTAAAGTGAGGGATGTTCGCCAGCTGAAAGCTTCATGGGAGAGGTTTGCCACTTAGATGCAGAGTCCTCGCTGGGAGTACATAAAGCAGCTTCAGCTCTTGCGGCATCTAAATTAGACGTACCTTTTCTTTCCTCTGTCTGCACGCCTCCTCTACCGAGACGAGGGCTTTGTAGTAAGGGCTGCGCTCGGCTGTAAAGTGGACCTTGGACAAAGCGTTTTCCACCAGAGCAACGGACAGATTCACACCCTCAATGTGCAGCCAGCCAATGAAGTTCCCAGCTTTGTCCATGCTCTCCACTTCCACTTCCACCTGGAACACAACAGAAAGGATAAAACAAGGACAAGGAGGTCAGGATTCAGTTTGTTTATTTATTTTTGGTAGCAAATAAAATAAATGAGGCCTGCTAAGGAGGCTTCAGTGTTTTAAAACAGACATCGATTGATTTTGTAGCACACAGAGATCCCGTTCTCCTCACTGTATCAGCTTTCCCAATACAATGTCTGGGCACTTGTTTCTATTTCCTCTCAACACAAAACCCTGCAAGGTCCTCTCGTCTTCAGATTAACTCAAGTCCTTGACATTTTTAATTAAGTCCATCTGCTCTCAATATCGTGTCTATCCACATGAACCAGAGGAATCATATGGCCTGGAAAACGGTACCAGCTTTTAGTGGCTCTAAATTAGTGTTGGATATGTTCTTCAAACTTAATTAAGCCACTAAATATCATTATAACACCCCCTTTCTCCTAATGTAAATCATATTCAATTAGTGAGAGCCAAGCTTCAATTCTTGTAGGTAAACAAATGAGGGCAGTGAATGAGCTAACCCTGCTGACGAAGCAGAAAAGACCTCACAACACTGCTCATAACAGACTAAAGAAATTCTGCCTATTCAGGCTAATTATCTATTCATAACATTTTGTTTCATAAGTGATGGACGATCAGGGAAGGATTTTTTTTCTCTGCTAAAGTCAGCGAGAAAGTCAGAGGACAGGTGTGCTTAGGAGATAGAGAAGTCAAGTGATTAAGACTTGAACTGCTCAGCCCCAAAGTCACAAGGGAAATCTGAAGGGAATTAGGTTTGTAAACTGCTCTGCCTTGTTCTCTGCTACAGTAAAAGGCTTTTATTACTGGATGCATCAGACGTTCTATTATTAAGCACAAAAATCACAACCTATGCTTAGGGCCGAGCAGCTTTAGGGATTCAGTTCCTACTTTTATGCAGTTAAAGGTCACTCAATGGAACATAGGGTGGAGGAGACATGGGCGTCGCACCGTGGGGGATGTGGGGGATTCAACACCCACACTTTTCCAGCCGTTTTGCTCACCTCCACACCAGTCTAGTTTCTCTACGTCGCACTCACTCTGTTCGCCTCATTTCCTTCTTCCCCTCCCTCTCCTGTTTCTCCTTAAACCCGACATCGGCTGTCGGGTTTAAGGAGAAACAGGAAAGGGAGGGAAGAGCTCGACTGAATTCATAATTTTACATCTTGACATTAGCTGTACAAACTGTTTGATAAAGTGAAGAACAAACATTTGCAGAGGTTTATAACAGGTGCGGCGCCAGGTTTTCATTTTTGGGTGGGTCACGGTAATTTTGGACGGACCTAAATAAGCATGCAGGTCGCGCTAGAAAATTTCGTTTAAAAAGACGTCATAAATTTTCCCCCCGTCATTTTTATTTCTAAAATATGAAGTAAAAACTCCCAATTTAATTTTCATTCATTTTTCATTTATAGGCACCAGAATGCATTACCTGCACTTCTAATAGTTACCTCTCAATGAAGGACTCTTTCATAAGGGTACATGCACACCAGTAGTTTTTACGGTTATTCATGGCGCAAAATCTCCGACATTTTTGAAAAAAATAAAAATAAATAAATAAAATCCATCTTCCAGTAAAAGCAAAGCATCCAGCCCACCTCTCCAAATGCGTAAAATGTGCATCACAGCCGCTAGACGCACCACGCACACCATCAGCTACATCAGCCCAGACAAGAGCAGAGCAAATAGAGAAAGAATAGAGGATAATTCTGTCCGGATGTGGATGGAGATTACATTTTACAGCAGCCTGATCATCATTTAAATACATAAACCATCCTGTCTTCTAGTCCACGCTATCAGCATTATTTTAATTGGTGTGTGAGCATTTGTGTTGACATGTGTGTTTGTGTGTGTGTGTGTGTTTTCCACTTCAAACACTGGTCTAACCATCCAGACCAGCGTGTCCAGTAACATATTAATGTTACAATTAAACAATTTCACTTCGTGTAGGCTAGGAACATTCACCTGCCGTGGCTGGACCGCTTCTGCTCCACATAAACTGATCAAATGTTACAATAACTCTGGCAGCACCTTGTGAAACATCATATCTAACACTTTTTTAACTCTGAACCGCTTAAATAACCTTAATTCCCTCCAACCTGACACAGCTAAACAAAACAACGGAAGTTTCGATTTCGCCATGGAACAGAACGCGTAGACGGCTTTGCCGCTGCCGCGGATCGCCTCCCGTGTGTCAGGTAATAAAAGCGACGGCGACAAATTTCGCTGATCGCGGTCGTTTGTCGCCTCCCGTGTGTCGAGCCCATTATGGTCCATTAATTAGATGTAAATTAACCCTTTACACATCACACAGGAAAAAAATGGTTTTTGCATCAAGTACCGCAGCAATTTCCTAATCATCTTGAATATTCTCCAACAAACAAATAAATAAATAAATAAATAAAAAGAGAAATATTCTAATAAATACTGCCAGGTGGAAAAGAAACACGATGAATGTTTATGGACACATTTGTATCACAAATTGAGAGCTATTTTATTTTTACATCTATAAATGGTGTGCATGCTTAGTCATCACTATACATTTCCGGTCTTTTTCCCAAAAATACTTAAACAGTAAAGTCCATTGTCTACATACTACTGAACTAGGTGGGAAAGACAATTGGTCATCAACTGAAAACGATGCATTGATGAAGATGACGGCTTGGCTCAGGTCAGTAACTACAGGTAAGGGGTTGGTGTAAGCAGACCTTCACGGTAAACTCTAGCATGGGGAATTTGAGCTGGAGATACAGTGTCTCAGTCCTCTCAGCGGTTGTGTCTTCATTCAAATTCAGCTAATTCAGGACTGACAGACGTCAGAATATCACAAATGCTTTGACGGGGAGTGATGTCACTAATCAGCACCAAAAAGTGTCCACAGTAACATTAATAATATTTAAAGTGTTATACTGTTGAAGTATATTATTTCATCCATTCAGAAAACAAGAGTGGCTGCGTGATGTAAAATGTGGCGTTGACCAGAAGCAATTCTGTTTTCACTGTGCTCTGGGAAAGAACAAAGCCCTGTGAAAACTCGCTTTGGGGCAATTCTGCCTTATTTCTCCCAGTGTCAGGAGTTTAGTAACAGCAATTTTAAGCGTGATCGGTCCTCATTTTCTTCTGCTTCCATCTTGCTTCACAAACAACTCTTAATTTTACTACTGCTGTGTACTGTTTTGAACATCTGCTGATGAAAACGAGCTTGAGTTAACCAAACGTTCCACTCGGCAACTCCACCGGACCACTCCAAGTACCTACCTCTGATCAGGTACTCAGAAAGTTCCTGACACTGGCTGTTCGGCCGACCCGGTCGAGTGGAGACACGTGAATGTGGGGAAGTCCCTGTAAATTTACACTTAAGTTCTGATAGTGGAAATGCACTTAATGCTGGCAAACAGACTCCACTTTTAAACTTTAAGTTCATTAAACAATGGCTGTAGTTACATTTCTGCTAAGCATTCTTGAAATAATTTTATCAGATTTAAGAGTAAAAACAAATTTAAAAGTGCCATGTGAAACGAAACTGGCCTTTAACCAGACATTAAAACAAAAGGTTGATATTTATGTCTTCAGCTTGTGTATTCTAATTTCATCCAGAGACCAAAATGTCACACATTAAAAGACAATAAAATAAGATCTACGACTGAGAGTTTATAAATCCAAACTTTTAAGATGCAAGCAGAATTTAAGGCTCTTCCTTTAAAAATAAATAGGTTTGGTGACAATGTAGAGAGGACGGGGAGGAGGTGGAGAAGCTGCTTAGAGCAGAGCCCAGATGGTTCCCAGTGGAGGCCTCTTTGGAGCCAAGATGGCTCCCGCAGGAACACAAATGGGCTTTGGTAATCTCATAAATGCTGGGATTGTGTTGAGCACAGCAGAGAGGAAAAAAGACAAAATGCACATGCACGTAAAAGCTATGTCCATGTGTGTGTGTGTGTGTGTGCGCGCAAACAAATACACGTATGGATTTTCACAATTTAAAAGAAAAAAAATGCTATTTGGTGCCTATGCAGTGAAACCTGGTCCAAGGGAAAGCTTTAGGATCCCAGCAGATTTAATTCACTTAGTGGTTTGAGAATGAATGAACCAAAAACTTGAATAAAACTGCAGTAGATGACAGTCAGAGCCAAGTGCTGCACAAAGTGGAAACAGACTGACAAACTGGACATGGAAACAAAAACTTATCTCTTTAAAGGCAAGTGATGAATTTTCTTTTGATTCCCTAATCTCCTAAACAATTCTGCATACCTACAAAACAAACTGGATAGATAAGCAGAGTCTAGAGAGAACAGTGTGTTCCCAATTATGATTCAAAGTCATTTAGAAACCCATGAGGTCCAACTTGGCAGAAACAGAAGCTTAACTTGAGTTTTGCTTCTAGCATACATCATCTTGTATGCATTTTCTCATCAGGAAACGAGCCGGCTGTGTACATCCTGCAAGCCACACCGGAAAATAATCAGTCCATCAGAGCTTTCAATCATCTCTGGCAGCACCTCAGCCATAATTTACATGAGTTTTACTGCATGTTCCAATCACTAGATCACCACAGAGATTTACCTTGGTGTCAAATTACCAGTTTGGGCCGTAAAAGTTTAGAGGCCACAGTGTGGACAGTTGCAAATGTAAGGATTAAAGTATGGCCCAGAATGCTGGTGTGTGTGTGTGTGTGTGTGTGTGTGAGAGAGAGAGAGCAAGAAAAAGAAGATGTGAAGAAAGTCTTTGTGTACCTTCTTGTCAAAGCGGGCTCTATTATTTGCAAATGCAAGCAGTGAACATAGTCTGGCAGGTGCAGACGTTTGGGAATGTCTTCATTCATTCTCATTAAACAACAAGCAGGCAGCTCCTTTTGCTGCCACTATTCTCTCCCACATAGCTGGCCACTCAACTCCAGGTTTGCTGGTGCTCATTCAAAAACGTTAATAATTCTCGAGTATAGTTAGTCATATGCTGCAACTCCCTGCAACAAAAACAGAATCCGATTT